ACTGCCCCTTCTAAAAAACTTCACATCACAATCCTGCCCGCTTGAGCTGTCTCCTGAGCTCATCTGAGCTTCAGACTCGGCTGCTGGAGCCGTGCAGCGCCACTGTGTCCAGGAGCTCAAGGTCTGCAATTGCCGAGCCAACAAAACCATCATTACTCTTATTCCTGATATTAGCACTACTTTTCTTACTAGTACTCTTACTAATCTCATTATTCTTCTCAATCATATTATCGTGTTCTCGTTCTCACTACATGATTACTAGATGATAGACATCGTATATAAAACTATAGGGAATAATGGAAAGAGCATGGAAGCTACTGCATTCTAACACTGAATATGTAGGGATGAGATAGGGTTACATAGGGATATTGTACGCAATATAGGGATAATTGCAAGAACATAAAGCTACCATAGTATATATATATATACATATTGGGGTTATCTGTTGATTGTCTTAACCATGCTTCGATTCCCAGGCCCTCACATCGTGCAAGAGGTCGTTCAATGCTAGACATTGATTCGTGGAAGTATGCGCAGCTCGGCGGAACTACTGTAGTATAATATAGGTATATAAGGATAAGATAGGTGTTATATGAGCTATGTCGTCTAAACTCCTCAGTATCCCCCTTACGACTACACCCCTATAGTGATCCCCTATATAATCCGCGATATAACCCTCTTTAAGGAGTTTAGACTATAGCCCCTATGGGAGTTTCCCCAAATAGGGGGACCCCAATATAGAACCCCAAATGCTATCATCCTTACTATGGGCACCCCGAAAAAGTTGGCGAAATCCCCACATAAGGGTTTTATAGCTGGCTTTTGAGCTCCTGGCTCTTTAAACTCCAGAGCTTCAACTCGGCAGCAGAGCTTAGAGTTGCCAGTTGCCCAGTCCTGAGACTCTGCAAACAAATGCGTCAACATATACTACACCCCTCATATAGGTAATCTTAAGGGTAAGAGAATCGTAGTAATAATAATGGTGTTCATAATACTCATAATTATTATGGTGATAATAAGTGAGCGATTCCCAGGGCCAGGAAGACCTCTAAAGTGTTGATCAATGCTTGGACACACGAGCATATACCCGATTGCAGCTCAGAAGCGTGGGGAGGACGAAGCAGTGCTGCACGGGGTCTCCGTGAGCCTTATCGCTGTTTAGATCTTGCAGTCTTGCAGTTCACAGCTCTCTGATATTTTCCATAATCGGCCAAGTTCTCTAACAGTAACCAAGGCTGTAGCTCTTGAGTTACAAGAATGTATTCCGGTGTCATTGCAAGCATGCCTCAAAGCGATGTGACAATCGCTGCATGCGAAGATCGAAAATTCGGAGCTCGCCAGCCTGCAACGCACCCCAGAGCTACTGGTGAGGATCTGAGCTGATCCCCTGCTGCGATCTCCGCCTTCGTTCCACAGAAGATGCGATGTTGCGATGCAGCCTTAGTCAGCATGCCATGCAAAGGAGATCTGGAAACCAAATCTGGCCTGCTGCACCTACACCTCTCCCAGCGCAACGCTCAGCACCCAACCCAAGCAACAGCGGAGTACTCAGGAGGCATGGCAGCAGAAGCCTGAAGAGTCAAAGTTCTGCTCCCGGACAATGGAAAAGCAACGCTGCACTAATCTTGCAGCCTGACTGATGTGTTGCACTGAGGCGTTGCCATCTGAATGCCAAGACTGAAGTCAAGACCCTATTAGCCCAGGAAACCCTGTCAGCTTCGCCGAAATTATTCAGCACCCTGGATTCGCTTGAGGGCCTTCCTTGTGCGAAGTTGCGCAGCATGCTTTTTTGGGTGGCGGGCCTCCGGATTTTAACTCGGTAGCTAAGGTAACATGTTACCTGAGCTACCGAGCAGAAACCGTGGGCCTATATAATCCAGAATTACAAACCACATTCGTTGGGGGAGGCGTCTCCAAATAGAGCACAATTTTTGTTTAGGGGGTGACACTAATCAGGCCGAACATTAGGCTTGCGGCATCTGTGCCATCATGGGCAACCAAGGAAGATGAGCTTGGGGAGATCGTGTCCCACACCTCAACAACCACAAGTGCAACCGCTTTGCTGGATCCAACCCCATGCTCCCTAGTCCCCGACTCTTGCCAAATTGTCCTAGTCTCCAACGCGGTTTCTAACCTCTGTGGCCCTCACTGAACATCAACATGCAACATCTTGCACTTTGCCAATATTGCGTCTGATTCAGGCTGCGAGTTTCTCTGGAGAGGGCTCCTTGGAGCTGGGCACAGATGCCAGCAGCAACATGTGGCCAGGCCTTCAACCTGATATGAGTTTCAATAAAGTTTAGTATGTAAAGCTGGAAAAAGTCTAAATTGTAGAGTCGCAGAGAAATGCCAGCTGATCATCTCGTTACAACGACTGACATCAACTAGCAGACGTCGAAACACTAAAAACCGATCAGAGTGGACGTTCATCTGCCAAAAAGCAAAGCACTGCAAATAAAGAAACGCACCAACACACTTGCTGTACCCTGAACGCTCTGAGTGGGACATGGCAGTATCACCCCAGAGTTACTCCAAGCACAAACATGCCGGTACTGACGCGGAGGCGGCGCCGGGAATCCCAGGAGTTATGAACTCAGGTCAGCGACAGACACAAGCTACTCTGACTGAGTAACTGTTCCCCAAGACCTGCACTAGAATCCTGAACTAGAATAAGAACCAACTACGAGGACTCGCACTATACCAGTTTAGCCAAAGCCCCGTATGCTCCACCCACGAAACAGCATCACAACAGGACGCGGAACATCTTCCAGCGCTCACACTGCTTGGCCAAGATGTCGTAAGATCCCACAGGGAAGCATATCCCGAGCTTATCTCAAGGCTACAGTATGTAACCTGTTGAGACGCCAATGGCGTAAGGAACAAACAACGTCACTGCAAGTGAAAGAAAGAGCCACCAAAAACAAGCGATGCAGTTTGCAAGCTTGAATTTCAAACTCGCGTCGACTCCCTGCCTCTGCCTCAGCTCTTCGCCCAGCCGTGGCCACCACCTGAAAGCTATTAGCTCCCCCTAGAGGCTATATGGGGATTATAGGGTATATTGGGGTGATATTGGGATAATGGAAAAGAAAATGGAAACTACAATCATGTTTAGGTTGTTCTCCGAAGTTTGACAGCTGGTCATAGTACCCAGCCGGAAGCGAACACGACCACGTTGCAGGTTGCCGTTCTCCCAGGCTACATGCCCGTGTGCTAGGATGCCGGCTGACCCAGTGGGAGAAACAAAGGCTGCACAGGTGAGTCGGGAATGGGCGGCACCTTGCAGCACCATATCTGGTGGTAGGGAGAGCATGGAGAAGCTTTCTCAAGCGTCCACGCAACGGCTCTGATCAGCGCATTTTTGCTGCAATCTGCATCTGGTTTCAAGGTCACCCTTTCGTCTCTGTGCCGCTCATGAAATCACGAGGAGCCAGGGACAAAGTCAGAGCCGTCTGCTCTTCCCTTGTGGTGTTTTGGCAAACCCTCTGAGGAGGGCATTTCAGAGAATTCGCGGCCTTGGAAATGAACAGCTGCTGCAGCCAGACGGTGCAAACATAGTCGCCGTGGCGCTGTGCAACTTGCGCCCCTTGGCAATTGCATGCACCGCCTGCATGCTCCAGCATTGAAAAGCTGCCATTCACGAGCCCGCAAAAGGGCGACGCGGCACAAGGAGTACAAAATCTGTTTACAGGGCGCCTGGTGGCTTCCATGAAGTACATAATCTTTTCAGGCTGCAGCTTCTACGGATCACATCCTGTCTTCCAGATGCCATAGCCAGAACGCCAAAATGCAGTGCCCTGTGCAACTATCCGTATCAGTCGACAGGGCAGCAGCCTAGAGTACTGTGGTAGCTATGCTTCCACCACCGAGTGCTTTGTCACTGCTGAGGAATGCATCTTGATGGAGCGAAGCTCCTCGGAAAAGTGTGAGGTGAAGTATAGCGGTATAGCGGCATAGCGGTAAACCACAGGGTCAACTTATCTGGAGATGCCTCAGACTTGGGGCTGGCGGTATGGGAGCATTGCTTCCGTTCCTGACGACGCAGCCAAAAAACAAGAGCCCAGAGAGACAGGATGGATACATTCGACAACTGGACCTGCATCATCTGGCAGAAAGGCTATGAATGCTTCCTGCCTTTTCATTCCTTTTCTCTCCAGACTACGGCGCTTGCTTCCCTAACATCAGCTGCCTAGAGCTTGATGTTCAAGAAACAAGGCCCATGCAGAACCGATCCAAGCAGCTTCTCACTGCAGTCAGGAGAATCGGTCAACATTGACTAAATTCAATTCATCTGGTCGGCATCTGATGTGTCGGGCAACATTACATGCTTCCAGCAAATCCATTCTAAGGTGCCTGATTCGCGTTGCCTGTGTAGCTATCACAACATTTGCACTCATGAGAGCCCGTAACCGGGGAACTTCCAGGAAGCCGACATGTCGCATGCCTTCAACTTGCAGCCCAGCGGGCCGCATAGTTGAAGCAATAGACCTGTTGGGAAAAAGCCTCTGCAAACTGCCAAGGCTCAAAGGTCTGCGGCATGATCAACATGCAATTAATGCTTTGATGAACCTCCAGCCTGTCTTGGTCTTACTCTGCGCGTGTACTAGAGATATTGGATGTCACACCTGTCTGGCACGAGGTTTCCTAGGAGCTAAGCCGATGTATAGCTAAGCGAGATGCTCATTGCGGTTGAAATGTATTTGGCAAACACTACAATACAATACCCTCATCACAAAAACGTGCTTCTTGCAGATATTCCCTTCTACGACGTCGCTGGGGGTTCAGTCAGGCGTGAGTCTGCACATGATCTCGCAGCGCAGAACTAAATGCTCACACGCCTCTTTGTGATTCCTCCTGGAATTCAGGGCCAGGTAATAATGGTCAGGACTTTGCAGAGGCATTCTGGTCTGCCTCTGGCTCAACAACCCTGAGTCCCATGCTTTTCCTCCTTCCTGCCCAAAGCTAATGACATGGTAGGACCGATGCTAGCAAGCTGGCGCGTCCTACGACATGGCGCGCACGGCTGCGCGGCTGATGGAGGGTAGAGGCCCAGGGCTTCCGTGGCTGCCGATTCTTCCTTCCTCCTGCTTCCCAGATTATGTCTCACTCTCTTTGATCGACTCACATGATGCCACCTTACTGCGGGCATATCCGCTCATGCGCGGTGACTTTCTTCAAGGCGTCCTTTGTAGACATTGTAGACTCTTTGGACGCATCCCGCGCAACAGGTTCGGCGGGGACAACGGGTTCGGTGGGGACCTCCAGAAGCACATATCAGACAAGCAGGGCTTAGGTTATATCCACAAATGAACAGAGTTGCGGCCTCTCTCTCTTCCTTGTGGAGCAGCACGGGCTTCGCAGACCTCCCGAGACGTACATGCTTGTTGACCGTTGTGAACAGCTGGTGCGGGGACATGATTACTGTTGCAGTGTCTTCCAAGATGCTACCAAGCCACGCAGCATGATGCTGATCCTCAGGTAAACAGCCAGATCCCGCAAAACATGGGCATGGTGTTAAAACCTCGATTTTGGCTGCAATAGCACAGGCTTCTGCCTGGAGAGGCCCACTGGACTGGGTTGAAAGCCGGAATGCTTCGGCAATGTATGAGAGGCTGGGGGCCGAAGGTCCTCTACATGATGAATGCTCTAAACTTCTAATCCTCGCCCTGACTCAAATAGCTGCCATATCTGACTACAAAATCTCTCTGAAAAACTGTGGCAGATGGGCGGAGGCTACTGTACTTCAAGAACAGTAGTCCTGCTTGTCACCAGCATGCCGGAACCGCGAGCATCACTTTGACATGCCATTTCCAAATGGAGTATAGTGCTTCCAAGATGCTCGCAACTGTTGGTTCATCTCCTGCCACAACTCCCAGTGCGAGTCTCTACTGTTCGTTGAGAAGCCGTAAGTTGATATTGGACCGTGCTACTTTCACGGAGCATCATGCCGTACTGAAAACTTGACGTTGCCGCATCCAGCCTCCAGGAGCTTGCACTGCCGTCGCAAGAACAGGAGCTCGGAGGACGTGTCAGTGACATCCTCCTGCCTCCGCTGGCATCCAGTGCATGCTGACAATCGGCAACTGCATTTCTGACTGTAGATGCTACAGTGACAGCATCTGCTTCGGCAAATGTCTCCACAGCCGTTGCATGATCTTGGGCAGACAAACAACTCCAGGCAAAGAACACGACAGACCCAATCGTCGCAGGATCCGGTCTTAACTCACGACTAGCTTCCACTACTTTGCCCGCTTGGATTTCCTTGGCATCACCGTGAAAGGCGTACGTGATCCCGACGCAAATACCCCTTCGTTGTATCCCTGCGAAGTCCTGTTGTGATCCGTACGTACGCCCAGATATGGGTAGTTGCAGAAATAATTGTCCCCTTCTGTGCCCCTGAAGCAGTGTAAGGCCCATTGCAAGGAGCTCCCAAACTCGGAACCCCAAACTCTCTCACGCACTCAGCTTTAGCTCCTTTAAGAGAGCCGCATCTTCCCGCCTGGACTCTTCAAGGCGCCTGAAGCGCAGTTGCAACGAACAGTGCTCCCGTGCCACGCTGTGAAGCTCGATGTGAAGATTGGAGAGCTCCTGAGGATAAGGCCTAGGGTTTAGGGTTTAAGGATATTGCCCCGCAAGAATGGAAATCTCGTGGAACTGGAAATGAATAATTGAACAGACAATTTGTCAATGGGAGCTGATGCTACAAAATCCTGAAGTGCTCTCGATGTCTTCCATGAGAGGAATATGGTATTACAGTAACATACTAATGCCATGGAAGCTGCATACTATGAACAATATCGCCATTCTTCGCCGTTGTGGCTTCTTCTGATTATACGTAGCATTGCTTCTACAATCGCCGCGCACGGTTGATGGACGAGGCCTTGCATGAGACCAAATATACCATGCTACTACAGTACTACTACATGTGCTAGAGGTTGTGATGGTTTGTGATGGGAGGTGCAGGGTTGCGTGATGTTGCGCCCATCAACGGTATCCACACCAATGTTTTATTGTATTCCTAAGTATTCGGGCAAGCCAATTCTTCAAATTCGTTAGGAGAAGCAATCAGCAGTCTGCACTTCGCCGCCTCATTCTTCGACCGCAGCAACTCATCACGAACTCGCAAAGTGCTGCGTGCTTCGCGCATCTTAGCCTATCAGGACGGGATTCAAAGAGTGAAACTGACCAGTACGTGGCGTGTGAAACAAGGACCTCCGCAGCAGATCGCGCTTCCTGCTCTTCTTGCAGCGCTTGACGCAGAGAGAGGATTTCCATCTCCTTTCAGCAGTTGGACACTTTAGGACACATTCGGGCTGATGTACCACCAGCGACAGTTCAGTGTGTCTCTCTTGGTCCTAATGATGGGATCCCGCTTTTACATCCCATATCCAGAAGGAAAGGGCCGATAACCCTTCCAGTCTGTCCTTGTCTGCAAGGCGCTGCTGCAGTTCTGTATCCCTGCGAGTCAGGCATTTAGAATGCAACAGCAATCTCTGAGGTAGGCCACAAAATACTGCCAACTAGTTTGACAAAATGGAGCGATGATTCAATCGTGCTATCAAATTCATGCCGCTCACCAGTCCACACCTAGTCTCCTCTTCTCTGGCGCTTCGCTCCTGCATCTCCTCGTCTACAGCCTCGTGCGCAAGCACCCCTAAGCAGCAAATCGGATCCAAACACATGGGCTGTCGTCCTTTCTGCATTGGCCTCCATCGTCATGATCGCACTGGCAATCTCGGAGCTTCGCTTTAGCGATGCTGCCTCAGCAGAATTCGGTATCTTAGCAATCGGGTAGATACTGGGAAGCTTGCCTCTCATAGCTCCAACACATGTGAGGGCGGATTGCTGAGGTTCGCGCGATCTCCTGCACATGTTGGAGATGGACAACATACCCTAAACCCTAAACTTTATCACACTTTGTGTTCTCCGGCCTTCTGTTTTTCCACTGCAGACAGCGGTGGTGCAAAGCCCAACACCTGTCCGGCATCATCAACCTACAATTGTTGCTGCCGTTACCTTTATGCCACATCGGTTGCTACCATGGGAATCGTTTAGTATCTTTCTTAGTCATAGCGTGGATAACTGTTGGAAACCAGGTGCCCTGCCGTCAGCTCACCATTCTCGATTACCTGAACTGCACATGAGAAAAGTTCTCCTAATCAAAACACACAGTGCGCTTATCATAAGGGGGTGCTCTATGAATGCTACAGGGTGTACACTAGTAGTCATCAGAAGTGGGCCAGCGAGGTAAGCTCAATTATGACGACGCTCGTGCAGCGAGCCCCGGAAAAGAGAGATAGATCAAAGTCGTAGCCAAAACACAAAGCCAGTTTGGGGGCAAGGCCTGACACACTTCGGACTTTCCCTCTACTATGCTGTCCGTGGCACACGCTTTCATGGAGAACTGGAGGCAATGGTTCCGAAATACCCTGTTCAATGCAGCTACCAAAAGCGGCTTCTCTCAGCAGGCTCTCTGCCCACGAGGCCTCTGCAGCCACTCTCCGTCGCTGTCGCACAGCCACGAATCGAACAAGCTAAGGATGTTGGATTCATTGAGACAAGTTACACTCACGACATCCTCCCCACGAAGTCGGCTGCACGCACCAGTCATCCCATCCAGGGAAGCCTTCAAGGCCTGGTGAAGCGTTTCCTCCTGAGGGCTCACGCTAGGCTGCTAGGCCCTGCTAGGCGCTGCTCTGCAGAATCTCATAAAGATAAACGAAAAACAAGGAGGAGGGGTGGAGTCTGGGCTGGAGCGAAAAAAAGAGCACAGGCTCCCCGAAAAGCACGGCAAACATGCTGGTATTCCTTTCGCACACAGCATCCAGGAATCACCGCTTGCCTGTCCTCATCTTGCGCGAACTGCACAGCACCTTCGCTGCATGACTGGCAACAAACGGCTGACTGAACATGACAGGGCACATCCCAGCCTTTGGTCTTCAAGGGCTCGGCCCTTTCGCTGGGAGCATGCCGCAAATCGACTGTCAGGGAGGTCCTCACAATATGGCCAGGAAGTACAACTTACAAACCTCAACACTGTCGAAACATGTTGAAACGTACCCAGCTCCCAGAGCACTTGTTCATTCCTGCGCCGTTGGGAGCATGGGCAGGAAACCGGGGATGGCGTTGGACTTTCACCTGTTGGCATCCAAAGGAGACTGCTTCTTCAAGAGCCACTGAGATCTCACACCCGCCTGGAGAAAGCGGGGACTCTGCAGCGTCTGGAGCGACTGTGGAACCTGTCAGAGCAGGAAACACAGCAAACATTTGGGTTGTTGCTCGGAATTGAACACCTGCAGGCCTGGGGAGCAGCCTTGCAAGCTACTGGGCCATTGGTGGATCAAGTCCTCCTCGGCAAACAGTGAATATTGTCGCGCTAGCAGCGCAAGAACCTGCGAAAACACCTGAAGCCTTGTATCCGCAAAAAAACTCCTAGCAGCATGAGCAACAGCAAAATAGGAGGAGCCATCTGCTTTGAAGGCTGAGGATGGCTGAGGTAACGGCCTGGTGTGTGGGCCGCGCCAGCTTCAGCTGCATTCGCGCGGTGGGAGCTCCCCATGCGGCGTCTGTCCTACAAACGTTATTGCTGGCAGGGCTCCTGCAGAATGCTGACTAAATCCAGCTGTACTAAAGCATGTGTGACGAAAGGAACAAGGCAGCTCAAGCACTTCAGTCCGAGAGTTTTGAGCTCCATACTTTAGGAAGGTCCTAGCCGCATCCCATTTGCTTCTCATAAGCTTCAAGGCTGCAACAGACTTTGAGGAACGAACTGGTCTACTCAAAGCCAAGTTCCCCAGGCCTTAGCATTGCTGCCTGGCTCTCAAAGCCAAAAATGGCAGGGCGCAAGCCTGTTCTCTCGCCTCCTTTTCGCACTGCTGCTATCTTGCTAAGAAGTGGGATAACTAGCTGCTATCTTGAAAGCTTAAGTCTCGGCATTGTCTTGCAAGTTGAGGCAGGCCAACTTTCAACCTGCAGGTACATTAAATAGATGTGGCAGGATGTAGTTGCTGCAAAACTTACGCTCCGCTTTTCATGTTCCACCTTTTGAACCGTGATACACGACAGCTTTGCAAAGAAGCTGCATCTCTGGCCCACACAAACTTGTTCCTGCTCCTGAAAAGACTAACGGCACTGCAGGTGCACAATGCAGGCAAAGCTGTTGATGACTCGACCTGTCTGTAGGGAGTAGGCGGCGCTGGGCCGATTGCCTGCGGAACAAATCCAAACGGCATCAAACTCCAATTGAGGTTTGGATCGGATTCTGATCCAGCTGACAAAATCTTACTGGTTCTTGTAGGGAAGAAGGGAATATAATCCCAACCCCTGTATAATGAACATGTTCCCTTATTCCCTACTAAGAACCAGTAAGTTTAATGCTTTGCTTCCCAAGCAGTCCTTCACCCACAGTCCACAGGTTGACCACATTCCTGCCCGGAGCGTCTTGCACCTGGACACCAATGGACAAGTCCATGCCCGTAGCTTCCTAAATAAGGACCCCAATATCCGCCGATTTCTGGGGCCGGCGCCCAGCAGGTTCCCTTGGCTCCCTCACCATTTCCCCGCATTTGTACTTTCTTTTTTTATCT